AAGGCGTTCCTGTTGATGTGTTGTAAGTTGAGATTTCCGTAGTAGTTTCCATCCAACTACAAAATTTTAATCGAAATTTCTTTTGATTTCCATCCACAGACTTACTTTTTACATCAAAAAGTTTTAAAAAGTTTTCAATTTTTGATATGCCTGTTTTGTCTACTTTTCTACTATATGTAGTTTTTATATAATTTGAAATGTCTTCAATTCTTTCTGGCCCTTTTGAAGATACACTCCATAAAACGGAACACATCTCTTCGTACTTTAATGTAATCTTCATTGTAGATTTATCAAATATGGTACTTAAAATCTGAGAAGTTTACTTATATACCAATTCTTGTCATTTCCGATACAGGTATTTCAAAGTAAAAAATTACGAATTGTCTACCTATTAACTTTTAGGACTATATTACTATAACCTGTAATTCAGTCATTGATATTTCTTATTAGTGAATGAATCGAAATTATCATTACGTGTATATTTTTACCTACATGATCATAAACGAAACAGGATGAAATGATCTGTCGAAAAAATTTAGGTAAAAAATAGTTATAAATTTCTGAAAATTTAAGCATAATAGGACCTTTCAATTATAAGGATAAGCAAACAAATAGAAAATAGGTAAATATAAGATTTAAATATGTTCTGTCATATTTAATACTAAAATGTGAAATTAAAGGATACAGGTTTAAATGAACATATTTTTGAATGTAATTGAGATATTGGCTTGAAAATTTTTGTAAAGAATCGAGAATTTCCATATCTAACTAAAAAAAGATATTAAGGGATAAATATGGACTAAATTGTTGTAGCTATCTGCGACCCTATTAAAATTTTGATATAAATCATAGTTTTAGAAATTAAACAAATATGTAATATATGACAAAATCTTTATTTGTGAACAAAACTCAATGAAATTTTCAACGCTTGTTAAATTTGTCATTACAAATAAGAAAAATTGAAAATTGAAAAGGTCAAAGGGCATCCCGCAATTCCCAAAAATAGGAATGAAAATCCCAAAAATGGGATTTTTTACTTTTTTGCCCATAGGGTCCACATTTCTTTCAGGGCTGGGAAAATACTTTTGGAGTAAATATAAAACATATTGAGGTTTCCAAAACTGCTTTCAGTTTTCTGATCCCAGCTTTGGGATTTTAGAACATGTCGCCCAAAGTTGAAGTTTTGATAAAAAATAGGTCATATCCGGAAGGACGCAGTGGCAACATTTTCAAAAAATAGGACAAGTTTTTTACGCCAAAGCGTTCTGCGTAAAGATACCTTTTAGAAAACTATAAAATTGTTATATGTTCGTAAAGAAAATTTTATTTTATTAATAAAAGAATTAAGACACATTTTTGGCAAAAGAAACGGCAAAAATCTAAAATTTTTTGAATTTTTAAATTAAAAAACGTATCTTTTTGGATCTGTAAATGATATTGATCTGAAATTTTTGTATATTATTGGAAATTTTGTTGTCTAACTAACAAGAAAAAATTGAGTCTATTTGGTCCAAAATTACGCCCGGTATTCAAAAAAAGGCGGACCAAGGTATGGTAAATTTTGTATTACTAAATTTTTAAATGCCTATAACTCGGATATTATAAGAGATAAGTAGTATGTCCAAGCATGTTTTTTCAAGATCTCGTCGAAATCTTAAAATGTCTTCAATTCTTTCTGGCCCTTTTGAAGATACACTCCATAAAACGGAACACAACTCTTCGTACTTTAATGTAATCCTCATTGTAGATTTATTAAATATGGTACTTAAAATCTAAGAAGTTTACTTATATACCAATTCTTGTCATTTCCGATACAGGTATTCCAAAGTAAAAAATTACGAATTGTCTACCTATTAACATTTAGGACTATATTACTATAACCTGTAATTCAGTCATTGATATTTCTTATTAGTGAATGAATCGAAATTATCATTACCTGTATATTTTTACCTACATGATCATAAACGAAACAGAGCGAAATGATCTGTCGAAAAAATTTAGGTAAAAAATAGTTATAAATTTTTTAAAATTTAAGCATAATAGGACCTTTCAATTATAAGGATAAGCAAACAAATAGAAAATAGGTAAATATAAGATTTAAATATGTTCTGTCATACTTAATACTAAAATATGAAAAAGATGAAATTAAAGGACACAGGTTTAAATGAACATATTTTTGAATGTAATTGAGATATTGGCTTTAAATTTTTTGTAAAGAATCGAGAATTTCCATATCTAACTAAAAAATGATATTAAGGGATAAATATGGACTAAATTGTTGTAGCTATCTGCGACCCTATTAAAATTTTGATATAAATCATAGTTTTAGAAATTAAACAAATATATAATATATGACAAAATCTTTATTTATGAACAAAACTCAATGAAATTTTCAACGCTTGTTAAATTTGTCATTTCAAATAAGAAAATGCAAAAAAAAGGGCATCCCGCAATTCCCAAAAATAGGAATGAAAATCCCAAAAATGGGATTTTTTACTTTTTTGCCCATAGGGTCCACATTTCTTTCAGGGCTGGGAAAATACTTTTTGAGTAAATAGAAAACATATTGAGGTTTCCAAAACTGCTTTCAGTTTTCTGATCCCAGCTTTGGGATTTTAGAACATGTCGCCCCAAGTTGAAGTTTTGATAAAAAATAGGTCATATTCGGAAGGATGCAGTGGCAACATTTTCAAAAAATAGGACAAGTTTTTTACGCCAAAGCGTTCTGCGTAAAGATACCTTTTAGAAAACTATAAAATTGTTATATGTTCGTAAAGAAAATTTTATTTTATTAATAAAAGAGTTAAGACACATTTTTGGCAAAAAACGACAAAAATCTAAAATTTTTTGAATTTTTAAATTAAAAAACGTATATTTTTGGATCTGTAAATGATATTGATCTGAAATTTTTTGTATATTATTGGAAATTTTGTTGTCTAGCTAACAAGAGTCCATTTGGTCCAAAATTACGCCCGGTATTAAAAAAAAGGCGGACCAAGGTATGGTAAATTTTGTATCACTAAATTTTTAAATGCCTATAACTCGGATATTATAAGAGATAAGTAGTATGTCCAAGCATGTTTTTTCAAGATCTCGTCGAATGCTTTCACAAAATAAAAAAATCTTTGTATTTGGGTGAAAAACAAAAAAATGGCACGAGTTTAAAAATTTTACATGTCGTAGGTACCCTACTTTGAGCCGCCACAGCGCCGTCCCTGGGGCATCTGCAGGGTTCATCTTCAAAACTTAAACTCGAATACTCCTTGGCTACGCTCACGCCAAATTTTATACCGATCGGATCAGCCGTTTAGAAATGCCAGATTTATTTCCAAAAAATTTCCATTCTGCCCAACTGTGCACTGTGGAGCGTAACTTTGATTTTACAGCTACAGTAAACGGTTATTTCCAAAGAAAATCAAGTTATTTTTTAGAATTTGGTGTCACTACATGCTATAAAGGATAATATCCTGCGATATCCTTCGAAAACACTTTTTCCATTTTTCATAAAAAATGTTCAATATACGTCAAAATAAAGCTGAAGAGATATCCATAAAAAGTCCAGCGGTATATTTTTATGCGTGAAAGAGTTAAGTAAATGCCAAACATATGCGTATATAATGTATTTGTTGTTGTCGATATCGTTTACCAGCTAGTCATTGGTGCAGACTTTATGATTAAACATGATATTAAATTACTTATGGAACCAAATGTAATGATTTGGCGAAATGTTGAAACACCTTTTGATGTCGGATATGTTAGCAAGGCACAATGAATAAAGTTAGTTGCTCTTGAACATCAAAAATTGCCTCCATTGTCAGAAGTTTTAGTGTGGGACTGTCTGGAGGTAGATTGTAAGGACAACAGTGTAAGGGTATTGGAACGAGCAGAAATAATAGGTGATCTTATAACAGATAAAGCCCTCGCCAAACCCTGTACATACAAAATAGTTCACGTAAGAGTACTTAACTTGTCTAGCTATGATAAAGCCACCAAGCCAAATTCCGGACTAGGTGAATGTTCTTCAGCAGAGAAAATGCACTTTGGACTCTGTAATGCTCTAGCAACATTCGAGCGTTTAATGGACTTCATAAGAAGTCATGCTTGGTGTACCATGACGACGTAATTGTCATGGGTAAGACTTTCGATGAACACCTGAAGAACCTAAAAGAAGTTTAGGTTCGACTTCAAATTAATGTAAAGAAGTGTGCATTATTTCAGAAGGGATTTGAATATTTGGGGAAGCTGATGGAATATCAACAGATGAGGATAAAATAATTGCTGTAAAGGACTGGCCTCGCCCGAAAATTCTCTACATTTGTACATACTACAAACGATTTGTTTGTAGTATGTACAAACGTAGGCTGCAAGCCTACATTAGTTGCCTTGAAAACATAGAAAACATGAGAATACCTATTTCCACAAATATCAATTAATATAAAAGTACTGAGGGACCTCGATTTTCCGTGATGGTCAGGACCGGTTGTTGCATGCTGTATAATCGATTTTCCCGGTTAATTGAGTGCCAATTTTGGATAGTTTTTTAATAGATATTTTTATTAATTAATAAATGAATATGTACATATTTATATAAAAACGAAATAATTCAAGGATTTTATATTCATACATGATTCGAAATACAAAAAAATAATTTTGTCAGAAAACCGTAAACAGTAGATAATGATTTCATGTTATGCAATTTCTAAAAAAAAATCATGTAATGTGGTTTGTCTCTTATTTTCCAATTTTGTATTTTCATTTTAAGGGAATTCCTCTTTTCGATTTATTCTAATTGTTCATGTTTGTTAAAAAAGACTAGAATTTTGCTTATAATCACGGATAATAGAGGTATATACGGTGTAACGATGCAGAAAAATTTAAGTCAATCGAGGAAAAAAAAAATTATTTTTCCATCCCGGATAATTGATGCTGCCGGATAATCGAATCACGGATAATCAAGGTCCTACTGTACCTGGTGGCTTTAGCTCAGCCGAATATATCACTCTAATTTGTTTGTCTCATAGGTTTTTATTTGCTTTTTACGTGAGAAAATATTACAATGAAAATGTAAAATTATTATTTTAAAGTTGTTTTTATTGTTTGCTTAGTTCTTCTTTTATTAATGCTGTTGATTGTTGTTGTTGCTTCTGTAGTTGCAATAATATCATTACGTGTCACTGACTTAAACAAATGGCATTGTGAACAACGCCGTTTTAGAGCTGGTCTCTGACGTCTATCCATACAACGCAGGGCATAATGAAACTCATCAAACATTTCAATCCATAGTGAACGCTGATGTTGCACAGGCTGCGTGATATATTGGTGGGACTGATAATGGTATTCCTGATGTGAAGTGACTTTAATATTATGCTCTACATCAACGTATTGTTGAGATTTTTGTAGATCATCATCGGGTGGTCGAGACAGAAATTCGGCCAGCTCTTTTTGTTGAAATTTGTAATGTTGCCAAAACTCAAACATTGCAACGCAAATAGCAAATCCAATGCCAACAATTAAAACTACAAAAACTCCACCTGTATAAACAAAATGCAATTACATATGTATGTACATATATTATTATATTATACATAAGGAGAATTTCAATGCAAGTGACCCAACTCAAAAATTCGATTTTGATGAAATTTGCACCAAGGTCTATTGGATAGTAGGCCAGACACAAATTTTCAGCTCTATCGGTCAGGAACTGCCGGACTTAGAAGGGGTCAAAGTTGGACATTTTGGTCATACAGGGTTTTATTCAAATGAGTGTTGAGGGTTTTATTCAAATGAGTGTTGAGGGTTTTATTCAAATGAGTGTTTTCACCTATTGGTCCTAGCAAAAAGGAGTTCAGATATTCAGATATTTCTTCATTGTTTCCAAAAAAAAATTTATTTTTTTTCTAAATGAGCCCTTTTTTATACCCTCCACAAATAACTTTGTCATTCCGTGTGTAACACCAAGAATTATTCATCTGAGACCAATCAAAGTATATACATATATTCATGATTCCTATGAAATTCTGAGTCGATTTAGCTATGTCCGTCTGTCTGTGTAAAACACTCTCACGTTAAAACGAAGCAATGGAAATTCACGAAATTCACCCAAAACATTTATTATTATCCGGTACAGTTTAGTTCAGAGATATGAGTAAAAATTTTACACAACCTCTAAAAAATCTTGCTTTTTCAACTACATATTTTGAATTTTTTACAAAAACTATTGCAGATAAATGAATAAATTTTGGCAGATATATGGTTTTATATACAAGGATCAACTATGTGGAAAATAGGACCATAATTTCTTATAGGACCCATAAAGTATGTTTAAAAGTGAGTTATCAAGTTGTATTATTTTACAAAAAAAGCAAACTGAGATTGAACTTAGAATCTTAACCACTTACAACTTGTTTCATTGTTTGTTAACTGATAATTTTTACATAAAAATAAAAATATTTGTTGCTAACGCGCGATAAAAATAATGCGCACGTTGAGAAAAAGTAACTGTTTAATTTTTTATACAATTCAGCAAGATCAGTTTTGGTAAAAGGTATCTAGTAACTGATTTTTTTGCACACACAGAAAAAAATACTATTTTTGTATGAAAATCTTAAGTTATTGAAAAATTAACTAAGGCAGTGGTGTTGTGGGATGAACAATGGAATGAGAAGCGGAATGTAATTGGTTCAAATCTTGGTCGAGTCATAATTTTTGTCATAAATAAATACACTTTTTAAGAAATTAAAAATTAATTGTAGATCATTTATAAGTACTTTGATTTCTTAAAGGAAATATTTCGCATCTTATCAAAATTCGATTATTATAGCCTCTACTACCATCAGCAGAGCAGGTTTGTTATACTGTATGTAACAGAAATATCAGACCACAAATTAAATAAAGTACATAAATATATTCGCTGCAAAGTATACCTAATTGAAATTAATTTAGATAATATAAATTTTCATTAAAATAACGTTTCAGTCCTCTTACAATTTGTACCTCAGGAACCCGATTAAATTGTCATTTGTAAAAAGTTGCAACAGGTAATATAAAAATCGAAAAAAAATAAATATATTAATTTTAAGTGATTATTGGTGAATAAATAGTGTTTAAATTTATAGAATAAACTAGCTGCGCGTACCCGGCGTTGCCCGGGTTTCTTCTAAAATAAAGAGAATATTATTCTGTCTGTAATGACTATACTTTTTTTAATAGAGTTCAAAATTTAGCTTATAACGATAAAATAGTTATTATATTTTTCTGCATTTTGTTTAATACTTAAAGTCATTTTCTGGACAAAAATGATCCTTAAAAATTTACAAATTGAAAATAAGCTTTAATTAGGAAATTTTGACTAATTTGTAGAAACATTAAGGAAAGTTTTTTTGAGAAATTATTTTTTTTTTTTATTTTTATTTATTTATTTATTTATTCAAAAACAATGGCCGTAAGCCGATAGGGCCTAATTGGCTAGTCTACAATTAAATATACTTATAATACAAAAATATAATTGGTACATTATTTAGTAGAAAAATTTTCTTATCTTTAATAGTTAGACTTGAAGTTTTGCACACACTGATTAGGATTCTATAAATTGGTGAAAATAAAGATAATATTATTAGCCTAAAAATGACAGTAAAACATAATAGAAGCGAAATGCAATAAGGTTATATAAAAGATTTTTTTTGCAACAAATGAGTTATACCAATTAAATATTTTATAAAAACTTAGGGGAAATGGCTGTACAATATATGTACATTTACATAGTGGAATATCATTAAAAATAGGCTCAGGGTTAGTTATGAATTCGACAAAAAAATATTTTTAAATGCATATAATGAATGTGAAAATTTACGTTCCTGGTAAGGAATAACTCGTCATAACTCTCGTCATAAATAATGAAACATGTGCTGGACATATTAAAGAATGTGTTCTATTTGAAATAGCAAAGTTAAATTTATTCTGCAAATAGTCAGGTTTACCATATTTTATAGTTTTAAAAAAGAAAATCATTTTTCTCAACTGAACATATCGAAAGAAACTACAACCAAGTAAATCAACGTAATATTGAGAAACATGATCACTAATCCGAAGTCCATAAATATAACGTACTACACTATTAAAGGATCTTTTTAATCTGTCAATGTTGGAGTTTGAAGTACATGAGTAAACTTCAATACCATAAATTAATAACGGTAAACACAATGATAAAGCAACACGACGTTTTATTGAAGAGGGCAAGTAAAAACCAATATTATATAACTTTCTCAATGTCCAAGATATTCGTGAAATTACTGAATTTATATGAAAACTAAATGTTAGCTTATCATCCAAAATAATACCAAGTGTTTTATAATGAGGAACAATTTCTAATACTTCGTTATTCAGTACCCCGTTTCTGTAACTTTTAGTGAGAAGTTCTCACATCGAGAAGTGTGAAACAAAAAATTCCATCGTTTCTCGATTTGGAAGTAAAAAGTGTTTCTGTAACTTAAAGTGAGAAGAGGCAACACGAATTACGTTTTTATTGGATATTTCCAATAAAACAGCTGTCAAAAACATAAAAATAAAAAGAAGAAAACAAAAATTGCCAGACAAATTTATAAACAATGATTAAATTAACAAAAAATATAGGAATTAAATAAAATGTGTTCAAAAAATTATCCCAATAAATTCTCCCCTAGCCAATTCTAAGTTTATTCCCACATACTTTTTCTGCTTTTGCTTCTGTATATCGAAAATTCCTCCAACTTTCTAAAAATTAGTGGACAATATTAATTTTAATGTTAATTAATTATAAAAATATCATTACTTTTTCATTATTTTATAGAATTTATGTTTAAATTAAACTTTTTTTCCTTAAAATTTTACTTTCCGCACCGTTTTAAAATGTGAGTTTTTTTGACAGTTCATGTGAGAAACTTCTCACAAAATTTTCTTACAGAAACACTTTTACTCACAAATTTCCAATAACTTACGTCAAAAAACTTAAATGACAGATAGTTCTCACAAAAAGAAATTACAGAAACACTTGCATGTGAGAAATGATATTTTGTTCCAATTCACATTGTTTTTTCTTCAATTTCACTGTTTCATGCGAGAAATTTCTCGATGCGAGAGTTACAGAAACGAGGCACAGAATAATGTTTAAAGAAATAGATTGTTTAGAAAATACCATTACCTTGCATTTCATAGCATTTAGTTGTAAGAAGTTACGTTTTGACCAATCAACTAAAAGATCAAGTTCAGAATTAATATGCGCCTCAGAATTTTGTAGAGATAATAAGTCAAACGTTGATAAAAGCTGTATATCATCAGCATAGGTATAACATTTCAAGAAATATAATTCATGATAAATGTCATTTATATATAACAAAAATAATAATGGCCCTAACATTGACCCTTGTGGCACACCTCGGTAAATTGGAATCCTACTAGAAACTTCATGTTCTATTTGAACAAATTGACTGCGACCATGTAAGAAAGAGTAAATGAGTTTACAGGCACTTGAACTATAACCAAATGTATGTGAGAGCTTATGAATCAACAATGAATGATTAATCGAGTCGAATGCCTTACAATAATCCAAAAAAATTAAAATACTAACCAAATCCTTGTCGAAGTTTTCCCTAATAGTTTCCGTGATTTCTAGAAGTGTGCCAGTAGTACTAAATCCTTTCCTAAAACCTGATTGATGTGGATGAATCAAACTACAACTATTTAGATGATGTAACATTTGTTCCCTAATAATTAGTTCCAAAACTTTTGAACAGACTGACAAAATACTGATAGGACGATAATCCGAACAATTCCTAGGAATCTTAACATTCGGAATCGGTACAATCCTACCAACCTTCCAAATTTTAGGAACTACCGATGTTGTCAACACCCTGTTAATAATAAATGTTAAATGTTTTAAAATAGGCAGTATTATGAATTTAAGAAATTTAATATGAATTTGATCATTGTTTCTCAAAAATACATCCATTTATACAAAAGTATGTTCAAACATATTATTTTTATTCATTAGCTTTTATACATTCACACTAAAGTTTTGACTAAATTTAGACACCATTTATTAAGTCCGAAGAAATAAAGGTCAAATATCGTTAGATGTACAAAGCAGATACCCAAATAATTTTACTTATTAAAATATCCACGTCTTCCTCTAATTAAACAAAATTTCAGAATTTGTAAATGGAGGGTTTTTTTATATACTCCACCACCATCAGTGGTGATAGATGGTATATATAACTTTGTCATTCCTTGTGTAACACCAAGAAATATTCATCTGAGACCCAACTAAGAATATTTATTCTTGATCCTTATGAAATTCTGAGTCGATTTATGTCCGTTTGTCCGTCTGTCTGTCTGTGTAAAACACGCTCACGCTAAAACGAAAGAATAAAAATTCCAAAAATCACATAAACACACATATTTCATTGACAAATAAGGCTTTTGTGATAAAATTCGAGCTGAATATATTTTGTGTACACACAAATAATTCTACCAAATTTATTTTCGGATCGGTCCATTA